TGTGGCATTAGCTTCTAATGTTGGCCCTGACATTCCAGCATACTAGAAGCAACGCCCCAAATGACTTATTTTTCTAAAGTAGACACTCCATTGTATTTGTTAAGGGGCATGGTGAGTATTTTGCAGTTCTCATTTGTTGCCACAAGCTTTTGGAAAATGAAGAAAGAAAACAAAAATGTATTTTTTTCTTTTCTTTTTTCAAAACTCTCATCGTGCCTCTTCTCAAATTCTTCGGAGTATCTACTTTCTAAAAAGGGGTCATTTAAGGGCATATTTCCTCAGGTCACTTCCTCACTCCATTGTATTTGTTAAGGGGCATGATGAGTATTTTGCAGTTCTCATTTGTTGCCACAAGCTTTTGGAAAATAAATAAAGAAAACAAAAATGTATTTTTTGTTTTCTTTTTTCAAAACTCTCATTGTGCCTCTTATCAAATTCTTCAGAGTATCTACTTTCTAAAAAGGGGTCATTTAAGGAGGGGGGTGTTTGTATTATCCTGGCATTTTAGGGGCTCCGAAACTTTAGTGAGGAAGTGACCTGAGGAAATATGCCCTTTGAAAGCCTGAAGGTGGTCAGTGGATTTTGGGGACCTGTATGTGGCTAGTCTCTCACATGTGGTATCCCCATGCTCAGGAAAAGTATCAGAATGTGTTTTGGAGTGTCATTCCAAATATACACATGGTATGTGTGAGCAATCTATCATTTATGTGCAAACATTGTGTTAAACAAAATTGTTATTTTCCAAAAATGTGTGGCAAAAAAAAAAAATCTTTCATGAAGTCAACACACCACTCAACAAATTCCCTTGGGTGTCTACTTTCCAAAATAGTGTCATTGGAGGGGGGGGGGGGATGTTTGTATTGCCTGGCATTTTACCACCTCAGGAAATGTGATAGGCAGTCAGGAAGTAAAATCTGGCATGAATTCCAATATATATATTATAGTTTGTAGACACTATAAAATTCACTCAAACCTATTAATATACGTGTATTGGGATTTATTTTACCAAAGACATGTACAAGAATACATTTTGGCCTACATATATGACTAAAATTGAGTTTATTGGATATTTTTTTATAACAGAAAGTAGAAAATATGTTTATTTTCAATGTTTTCATTTATATCACAAAAAATAAAAAAACCCGGTGGTGATCAAATACTACCAAAAGAAATCTCTATTTACATGAAAAAAGTTACTCAAATTTTGTTTGGGTACATCATTACATGACCATGAAATTACCAGTTGAAACAGCGCTGTGCAGAGTAGCAAAAATGGTCTGGTAAGGAAAGGGGGAAAACCTTCCAGGGCTGAAGTTGTTAAAGCTTACTAGTTTATCTGTGAATTTCAGGGGCAATGGTACTTTTCATACCAGAAACCCTAATTTAACGATATAAGTGAAACAGCAAAATAAATTTGATGTGATGATTGTGATTGGTGGGATAAATCACTACCTTGATTGTGTTTCCTATTTTGCAGTGAAGTGTCATAATTAGTGACAGATGAGACAGTCACATATTGTAAAGATCCCATATTACTATTTTGTGCTTTTGTGCTTTTGTGATCAAACCTTTCATCTCCATTACTCATTGATCATTACATCAAATTTATTACATCATATTTTTGAATTTCATCTAAATGCATAGTATTTTGATATCTGTGACATCAGCTGCTGGGTGTTGCTTAAGCCCCCTTCAGTCTCCCTGGAGATACATGTGTGTAGATGTGTGGTAATATACAGTATGTGAAGAATAAATTATAATACTATGATAATCTGTGGTATAGTATATAATATATACTAATGTGGTTTTTATATTATTTGTAGGTATTCTCCTATACTTTTCTGATGAAGCAGATTGTGTATCCAAACACCTACCTTCATTCCCCTTGTGATCGTTTTTGCATATTTAGAAGTATACAAAATAATTCCAGTAGATAGTTTCTTTACCCATTGTGGAAAATGAATTTCAAATGTGGTTTTACATTTTTTAACATTAAAGTGATGTATTTTCCCATCATCAGACTATTTACTCACATATAGGGGTTGATTTACTAAAAACAGATAGACTGTGCACTTTCCATTTCAACTTGCACTCATTTTCCCCAGAGCTCAGTGAATTTGCTGAAGCTTCACTTTGCAAAGAATACCCAATCATATGCAAGGAAAAAAAAAAATAATGTTTTTCTTGAACACGATTGGATGATGAAAATCAGTAGAACTTCACCAAATTCACTAACCTCTGGAGAAAATTAGTGCAACTGCACTTTCAAAGTGCACTGTCTACTGTATTTTCTTTATTAAATTAACCCCAGAGTATTATGTGTCAATAACTACATTACTACCACTATTATTACATCATCACTGCTCAGACTTCTGCCCCACCTAGCATCCCTCACATGAAAACCCCCTCAATACTCCTCTCCCTTGACCTCGCCACTGTCCAGACCTCCACCCCACCCCCCCACCCCACCCCACATTCCGCACACTAAAACCCCCTCAACACTCCACTCCTTGGACCCTGCTACCACTGAAGAGGTCACTAAGATCTTCTCTGAAGCTCACCTTACCACCTGCCCTATTGACCCTGTCCCCCACACAACTCCTACGATCTCCCTCCTCCTCCATCCTACGCTCCCTCACTCACATCTTTAATCTCTCCCTCTCTACTGACACATTCCCCTCCCCCCTGAAGCACGTACACATCACTCCCATACTTAAAAACCCTCCCTGGATCCCACCGACCTAAACAACCTTAGACCCATCTCCCTGCTGCCATTCTCATCCAAACTCCTTGAGCGATTAGCCTATAATTGCCTAAGCTCCCACCACACCGACAACAACCTCCTTGATCCCCTACAATCTGGCTTCCGTCCCCTACACTCCACCAAAACCGCCCTACTCAAACTCACCAATGACCTGCTAACCACCAAAGCCAATGGCCACTACTCAGTGCTACTACTCTTCGACCTCTCTGCGGCTTTCGACCACCCCCTCCTCCTCCTCAAAAAATGGTACTCTTTTGGCCTCAGAAACTCCGCTCTCTCCTGGCTCTCTTCACTGCCACCTCCCCCTCACTCCCCCTCTCTGTTGGGGTCCCCCAAGGTTCTGTCCTCGTGCCCCTTCTCTTCTCCATCAACACCTCCTCCCTTGGTCAACTGATACACTCCCACGGCTGACAAATTCATGCAGACTCCACCTCCGCAACATCTCCAAAATACGCACGTTCCTAACTCCTGAAACTACAAAGCAACTCATTCACTTCCTTATCATATCACGACTTGACTACTGTAACTCCCTCCTTGCCGGCCTACCCCAACACAGGATATCCCCGCTTCAGTCTATCCTGAATTCTGTGGCCAGACTCATCCACCTTACCAACCGCTCCGTATCCGCCACCCCCCTCTGCCAATCCCTCCACTGGTTTCCGATTGCCCAACGCATAAAATTACAAATATTAACATTGACGTACAAAGCTATTCATAACACTGCCCCAAACTATATCACTGACCTGGTTTTTATATTATTTGTAGGTATTCTCCTATACTTTTCTGATGAAGCAGATTGTGTATCCAAACACCTACCTTCATTCCCCTTGTGATCGTTTCTGCATATTTAGAATTACCGTATTTTCCGGCGTATAAGACGACTTTTCAACCCCTGAAAATCTTCTGAAAACTCGGGGGTCATCTTATACGCTTAGTCGTCTAAGTAAAAGTCGGGGATCGTCTTATATGTCAGGGCGGCACTTTTTCGAGGGGCGGCGCCGCGCCGCCCCCCCTCCTCCTCCAATGGACACTAAGTACAGGGGTGGGCAGAGGGGCTGCTGTACCTTACCTGGCTCCGGTCCCACGACGATCCGGTCCAGGAAGCGCGGCTGCTCCTTCTTTCAGTTCGGCCGCTCGATGGTCACGCGGCCGCTCGGCTCCGCCTCCTCACCAATGGGCGCCAGCACGGAGAGGAGGCGACCAATCACCGGCGAGGAGGCGGAGCCGAGCGGCCCCGCGAAAATCGAGCGGCCGAACTGGAAGAAGGAGCAGCCGCTCCTCTCCCCCACTGACACTAATGATAGGGCACTATTCCTCCTCCACACTGACACCAACGATGAGGCACTGTTCCTCCTCCACACTGACACCAACGATGAGGCACTATTTCTCCTCCACACTGACACCAACGATGAGGCACTATTCCTCTCCCACTGACACCAACGATGAGGCACTGTTCCTCCCCCACTGACACCAACGATGAGGCACTGTTCCTCCCCCACTGACACAAACGATGAGGCACTGTTCTCCCCACTGATACCAATGATGGGGCACTATTCCTCCTCCCCACTGACACCAACGATGGGGCACTATTCTCCCCACTGATACCAATGATGGGGCACTATTCCTCCTCCCCACTGACACCAATGATGGTGCACTATTCTCCCCACTGACACCAATGATGGGGCACTATTCTCCCCACTGACACCAATGATGGTGCACTATTCTCCCCACTGACACCAATGATGGTGCACTATTCTCCCCACTGACACCAATGATGGGGCACTATTCTCCCCACTGACACCAATGATGGGGCACTATTCCTCCTCCCCACTGACACCAATGATGGTGCACTATTCTCCCCACTGACACCAATGATGGGGCACTATTCTCCCCACTGACACCAATGATGGGGCACTATTCTCCCCACTGACACCAATGATGGGGCACTATTCTCCCCACTGACACCAATGATGGGGCACTATTCTCCCCACTGACACCAATGATGGGGCACTATTCTCCCCACTGACACCAATGATGGGGCGCAATTCCTCCCACTGACACCAATGATGGGGCGCAATTCCTCCCACTGACACCAATGATGGGGCACAATTCCTGCCACTGATACCAATGATGGGGCGCTATTCCTCCCACTGACACCAATGATGGGGTGCTATTCCTCCCACTGACACCAATGATGAGGTGCTATTCCTCCCCATGATACCAATGATGGGGTGCTATTCCTCCCACTGATACCAATGATGGGCCACTATTCCTCCCACTGACACCAATGATGGAGCACTATTCCTCCCACTGACACCAATGATGGGACACTATTCCTCCCACTGACACTAATGATGGGACACTATTCCTCCCACTGACACCAATGATGGGGCACGATTCTTCCCACTGACACCAATGATGGGGCACGATTCTTCCCACTGACACCAATGATGGGGCACTATTCCTCGCACTGACTAATGATGGGGCACTATTCCTCACACACTGACACTAATGATGGGGCACCATCATTGGTGTCAGTGGGAGAATAGTGTCCCATCATTGGTATCAGTGGGAGGAATAGTGCCCCATCATTGGTGTCAGTGGATGAAATAGTGCCCCATCATTGGTGTCAGTGGGAGGAGTAGTGCCTCATCATTGGTGTCAGTGGGAGGAATAGCACCCCATCATTGGAATACCATACTGAAATAGCATACCATATTGAAATCAAATCTGGTGTTTTTTCATTTTTATTTGGTGTGCGTTGGAAGAGGGGTAGTCTTATACGGCGAGTATAGCTCAAACCCTATATTTTAGCAGGAAAAGTAGGGGGTCGTCTTATACGCCCAGTCGTCTTATACGCCGGAAAATACGGTATACAAAATAATTCCAGTAGATAGTTTCTTTACCCATTGTGGAAAATGAATTTCAAATGTGGCCTACCCCAACACAGGATATCCCCGCTTCAGTCTATCCTGAATTCTGTGGCCAGACTCATCCACCTTACCAACCGCTCCGTATCTGCCACCCCCCTCTGCCAATCCCTCCACTGGTTTCCGATTGCCCAACGCATAAAATTCAAAATATTAACATTGACGTACAAAGCTATTCATAACACTGCCCCAAACTATATCACTGACCTGATATCCATCTACCACCCAAAATGCACTCTCTGCTCCTCACAAGACCTCCTACTCTCCAGTTCCCTGGTCTCCTCCTCCTATGCCCATCTCCAGGACTTCTCCAGGGCCCCCACCATCCTCTGGAACTCACTACTCCAATCCATCAGACTGTCACCTTCCCTCCTCACCTTTAGGCGCACCCTGAAAACCCATCTCTTCAGAGAAGCCTACCTCGCCCTCACCTAATTGCTGATCTCCTCCGCTCTTCCCACCACTCCATCCCCCACAGCTATTTCCTCCTGTACCACTATCCTCTCCCTCCTAGATGGTAAGCTCCAAGGAGCAGGGCCCTCGAACCCCTCGTGTATTGTATTGTATTGTTACTGTACTGTCTTGTGTCTCCCATTATTATGTACAGCGCTGAGCAAACCGTTGGCACTATATAAATACTGTATAATAATAATACTATCCCAGGAACTGCCCTGCTGAGTGCAATGGTGGGTTCAAACTTTTCCTCTCTGAGGCTGTTGAAGTACTTATTAGTTTTGTTTCATAGTTTTAATCTGCAAAGGATACTGTTGTCCTGCGTTGTATCCAAACATGTTTGTTAGGCAAAAACACACATGGTTGTCATTCTCTAGGAAGAATCAATGGGTTCATCATGATTAAAAAGCAAAATGCAAACTCACAGAAATATAAAATCAAAAAGCTTATCTGCAGCCATGCCCCATTGGATGAAAGCCTTTTCCTGGAAGAGCCGCTTGTGACAGCAATGAAACCAAGTCCAATATTCTCAGAAGTGAGAGGAGCCGCTGTGGAACACAGGGCAGGAAGTGACATCACATCTGGGGTGGGCTGGTTGATATGGTAACACATTTTGGAGCTCCTATTGACTACTTTCTCAAACCATTGGTTTCCTCAGCTGACATAGCCAATTCCCAGGTTTAATATACCTACTTCTCACTTTTACACCACTCCTCTTCTGTACCCTTTGACTATCAGCTCCCACTCCTTCTATGCTCCCTAAACCTTCCTCTACCCCCTCCCATTTTTGCACACCCACCTCCTCTGAACCACCATCCTCAGCTGAACCCTCCTCCAACCACTTCACCCCCAAAAACAAAATCCCTACAGCCCTGTCTACAAACCTGATAACACTTTTTTTCAAATATATTTGTTTTTATGTGCATTATTTTCTCACTTGTACAATTTAATTTTAAAGAAAATAAATCACTTTCCACATTTGACAAACTTTCATGTTATCTCATTTGAACACAAGTAGAAGGAGATCAAAGATTTTTTTGACTAAAGAAGTAAAGCATGTTCGGTTTTGCAGTTATTTTTTCACTTAATCTACTTATTTTGGTGAAACAAAGTAAAATAAAACACTAAAGTGCTAGCATATTATTGGATATTTGAAGTCAACACAAAATCACCTAATTCACTATACTAAAGGTAATTTTTCTTTGGTTTTTGAATAGGCAGAATTGGTGCTAACTTCAAACATAATCTTATACATGATTTGCATAGTTATATGTTCTTCTACGCATCATTCTCAAATAATAAAAATTAATTTACAAAGCAAATAATCTATTCCTTTAGTAAATTATTAGCAACCACAAATCATGGTGCCACAAAGCAGAATATTTTTGACCCACCCATCTTTGAGGCATCTGGCACTCTCAGTTAGGACAATAGTATAGTTGATCCTAAAATGTATGTCCACCCAATTTTCCTTCATTTGCAATTAGGTGGGTAAAAAAATAAAACCCCACTCTTTTTGACTACTTACTCAACCCATGGTCTAATAAGAGACAATCTAGCCATGTGTGGCTAGCTTAACCACTTTCCCTCAAGAGGATTTACCCCCCTACCTCACCAGGCCATTTTTTGAGATACAGCACTGCAACACTGCACCCAAATTAAATTTATGTCCTTTTTTCCCCACAAATGGAGCTTTATTTCGGAGGTACTTGATTGTCTCTGCATTTTTTAATTTTTAGAAACAAAAAAAGACTGACAATTTTGAGAAAAAATTTTTTTTACCTTTTTTGCTAGTAAACATGTCCAGTGAAAAAAATTAAAAAAAAAAATCAAAGTTCGTCATACATTTAGGAAAAAATGTATTCTGCTACATATCTTTCTGAAAAAAAATCTCAATACATGTAAATTAATTGGTTTACGTGAAAGTTATAGCGTGTACAAATGGGGGTATACAGTATACGCTAGATTTTTTTTTTATACTAGTAATGGCGAGGATCAGCGACTTACAGCGGGACTGCAGCGGGCATTCTCACACTGGGGGAGAACTGATTAACTGTCACTGATATCCCCAATGACACTAATACAGTGATCAGTGCTATTAAAACGCAATCAAAGGGTTAACTGTGTGCTGTTTTACTGTGTGTGGTTTACAGTGTAAGCACATTGCTTTGTATTGCTCTACTATGCAGAGCAATACAAAACAGTGTGCTGGAGCTGACAGGGGAGAGATCTGTATCGTTTACATACAGACCTCTCCCCCATCAGTGATACTCGGCTATCACCAGGTGCCAGCAGGGAATCACCAGCCGGGAACCGGTGATCAACAGCTGAAGCCGCCAATGGTGGCGCACCCTACTCTGAAATGCAAAATCATGTATATATACGTGATTTTGCGAAGCTCTGCTGCCCTGTAGCAGCATTTCTACTACGGGGCAGCAGGCAAGCAGTTAAAAGAGAAACAGATCTAAAACTGGCAAACAATAGAAATTTCCCCACAGATCTCCAACTGTAGACTCTCTCCCCTGCCTCCTACAGCTGCCCTCAGGAGATGTCATGAGAAAAAATACAAAAGAAAAAATGAAGCTTGATATAATTTATAGCATACAGTTGAGAAAACAATAACACAGTAATTAAGTGTTTATGCATTCTGCAGTCACAATTATTAGGTACATTTTCAAAAAACAGTTGAATGAATGGCTAAGTAGACCAAGGTAAGTACTGTAGCTTCACTATAACTAAGATATTAGTTTCCCAGCTATAGTTACTAAATTATGCAATTCCATCCTCTTTGTTTTAGTGTCAGTATGTTGTGAAAATAGCTACATGTGATTTTCACAGGATAGGGACTAATGTATTTTTTCAAATGTAGTATTTTCATCACATTGCTGTTTTACAAAATGCACAAAATTGCTATCCACACATTTGGGATTGAACCTCTCATAGTTAGAAGACTGTCTCTATGCTACTTGATTGTACTCAGTGCCCCCTTGCCGATTATCCTGCACCTACACCCAACCTTCAAAAATATGAAAAAGTGAATTGATGTTCTATATTATCAGTCACCTCCTGTGATTCTGAGACATGGTTGGGACAGGAGTCTGGGAATCTCAAAGGCGAGGTCTTTGTAGAATATACCTAACTGACCTACTCAGCAATGTAATGATGTATAGCCTTCCTGTGGTCACGCAAAGGACTAGAATACACAAAAACTGGTAAAGGCTGACATTCCCACATTACATCAACTCAAAATACCATACAAACATTACAAATGAACAGCACTGTGCTAGTAAACTGTTTGTTACACTCAACTTTCTTGGGAAATAATGAGTCCTTTTTTACTAATTATAATGGTGCATTTTCATTAGTTGTAAGAAAATCATGTGGTCCTTTTTTAATTCCTCTTTTTCTATCACTTTTATTGTAATTATATACTGTAATTGTCTCTCTCTCTCTCATTCTCATATATATATTTTTTCATTGTAAAATATTTTGCAAGCTATGGTGGTGTTCTGGTCTTACCCCAAAAAATTCTCTAAACAAAGGAAGGTGATGCTAATATACATGGCAGACCTAGAAGAGAATGTTCTGCCACTGGGTGTTTTACGTATCACATTGGGTTTCCTGTTCTGTTGTAAAAATGGCATTATTCAGAATTATTTACTCTTTTAGTAGAGGAATATTCATACACTTTTTCTGTACTTGAAGGGAGAATGATTTTTGTTATTTAAAGTGGAGCTATACAGTACTTACCATCTCTCCAGCTCTGCAATGTCCTGGAGATCCCCATTGGCTGCTGATATCTACAGCCTGGCAGCTTCTGGGTATTCATTCCTGGCTGTTTCTATTGACCGGGCTGAGATGATGTCACTCTTATGCACATGTGCCAGTTAAGTAATCTCGGCACTGCTAAAATTCAACACTGAGCTCTGTCTGCAGTACGGTGTGGACAGGCAGGTAAGTAACTCTTGTTGAAGAGACATAGTATGTCTATTTTCCATTAAAAATACTTTGCTGTTCACATTTTTTTGTAAAATTCCATTTTAAGCTGTTTCAGCTTATCTCTAGCTCTGTGAAAGAGACATTGGATATATTAATTTCTGTTCTGGTGACAAACTTTTTTGGTGGAATGGGTGAGGACAAGATAATGACCAACATGTCTCAATGTTACTTTTCTCCACTCCCCTGTTGTCATAATTCTTATTCAGAATGCGAACTGAAATATTTCCCAGTTCCAGTCAAAAGGGACATGGATGTTGGACAGGCAAGGGGTATATATCTACTGGATATGTTTGGTCCAGGGCCTTGTTATTC